GTTACACCCAGAAATAACACAAATATAAAGTGTAAAAAGAAACAGGAAACAAGGATCTAAGATATAGACTAAACACTAATACAGTAAAATAATGTGGTGTGTTAAACAGCAGCCTGAACATGAGCCTGTGTGAGCAGATGGGTGCAACAGACAACAGGGAGCTCGTACTTTTGGGAGTCCTGCAGTAACACGGTGGCGTTGTGGGCAGCAGGATTGTTCTTGGCGTGGCTCAGCCAGCCCTGAACGTTGTACTCCACCCAGTCTGTCCCATGGCTGTGGCCCAGCAGGAAGTGGTGGGGCTTCTCCCCCCGCAGCAGCAGACTGGCTCCTGCAGAGACAGGAAGTCCCCTTACAGCCTCCAAGTATGCACGAGGTGTTTCATCAGTGTCCTCATTACAGCTGAGGGCTGGAGCTCACCTTTGGTGTCTCCACGGCTGGAGCTGTAGTAGCTGAAGAGTCTCTCCAGCAAGGTCTCCTCAGACCCCCCAGGCTGAACAGCCTCCTCCTCCATCAGCCACAGAAGACCCCGAGCCTCCTCCGTCCGGGCCAGGGAGCAGACCTGGATCCAACACAAACAGATCAACAAACATCCTGCCTTTAGATGAGGCAGATTATCAGAAGGAGCAGCAGAGACAGGAACTCACCAGAGCTTGAGTTGAAGCTTGATCAATAACTGCTACAGACACAGAGGTGCTGGACTCGATGTCCTCTAAAACCAGCTCCACGTTCTCCTGGGAGGGGGCAAAGGCTCAGGTTAGGAAGCTGCATGTAAGACAGCATGAGCAAGAAATCACATTGATCATTCATTTAAACTTGTGGTTCCTAGAGTTTCCAAAAGCAGAACGGGAGGAAGATCTTCCAGTTCTCAGGCTCCTCTCTTGTGGAACCAACTTCCAGTTTCTGTCCGTGAGGCTGACACATTGTCCAGTTTGAAGACTGGGATTAAGACTTTCCTTCTTGATAAATCCTATAGTTAGGGTTGGCTTGTTATGCTGCTATAGACTTAGACTACTAGAGGACAAACTGACCTCATGTCCTTCAATGAATTGTTAAAACTGAATAGTTTTCATTTGATACTATTTCTATCT